CCGGGGGAGACCGACAGCCGGGGGAGACCGACAGCCGGGGGGAGACCGACACCCGGGGGAGACCGATACCCGGGGGGAGACCGATACCCGGGGGGAGACCGATACCCGGGGGGAGACCGACAGCCGGGGGGAGACCGACACCCGGGGGAGACCGATACACGGGGGAGACCGACAGCCGGGGGGAGACCGACAGCCGGGGGGAGACCGATACCCGGGGGAGACCGACAGCCGGGGGGAGACCGACACCCGGGGTGGGGACCGACACCGGTGGTCTGGAGGCCGGCGCTGGGGGCAGGAGACACCGACGCCTTGGGGCGCTGGGGGTCCAGGGGCCCGGCCACACGGCCTGGGGCGCGGGGAGCACTTTTTTGGACCGGAGGCTTCGCGCCCTGGGACCAGCACACCGCGAGCTCCGGGAGGCTACGAAGGGGCGGGGAACCCCGAGACGTCGGAGTGCAGAGATGGGAACGGCGGGCAGAGGCTTCCCGACCAACCTACCGGCTCACTGCGGCCCGAACAGATCCATCTTTTAGTTGCGCCGTCTGCGCGCCATCTGCGCGCCATCAGCGCGCCGCTGCGCTGGGATCTCTGGGAAAGCGAGTCCCCCGCCAGCCAGGCGCCACGGCTTCCGCTCCCAGAGAACTACAACTCCCACAAGGCACCGGGGCGCCGCTCCCAGGCCTCGGGGACGCATGTACTCAACCTAAACGGCCCTCTTTCTGTGGCCCGCTTTGCGACTACCCGGGGTCGCAGCCGAGCCTTCGAAAAACAAGACCGGGATTGACGATGGAGAAAATGAAGGGGGGAAGTCAGATGCACCTCCCACAGTTCTCGAGGGGCTAGCGGCCAGCGCGGGGCTCTCGCAACTCAGCGCCCCCTGCTGGCACTCTCGGGGACTAGTCATTAAGGCGGAAGGCGTGTTCCCGTGCTCCACGCGCACGTAATCGCTCGCTAGCACTTCCGGCCCCGGCCGGAAGCTACGAGGTTTCGCCCTCCCCTCGGCCCATCCGTATTTTCTTCCGTCGATCAGTCGGTCCGTCGAGATATCGGGCCGGGCCGGTGCAGCTCCGAGTCCCCCACGCAGGTTCCGCAGCCCGCATCGGGGTCAGGGCGATGCAGGTCAGAGCGGAGGGCATCTCTGGGCACACGGGCTGGGGCTGCCCGGGCTCGCCGACACTCCTGCCGGCTCGTGCTCCGCAGGGATGCAGACACGACCCGATGAGCTCATGGGGGGAGGTCCCCGCAGGCTGGGCCTCGAGCGCTGTGGCCAGGGCCATGCTGTGCTCCCAATACTCCCCGCCAGGGTCACCCGCCCACCGCGGAGGCCAAGTGGCTTCAGGGGGCTGGGCGAGGCCAGGCACGTATCTAATGCTGGTCTGCCTTCACCTCCGGGTCAGCCAGAGCTGGGGGGCTGGGAAGGGCCTCCCGCTCGCTGGCCTCAAGGCACCTCCTGCCAGGTAATGGAGGAGGGGGCCCCTTGGCAGAGGCTAGCGGGCAAGCACAGGTGAATCGCTGGCACCCTGCTGATGGGGTTATCCGAAATCCCTCCATCCAGGTGTGGAAGGGGCAGGAAGATCAGAGGGCAGGCCTCCTCCCCAGGCTCTTTAACCCCCTATATGCAAGCCTGAGCTGGGGTCTAGGGAGCCTGCCACAAGGAATCCATCACCAGGCTGTCTCTTTACAAGTCCCAGGTGCCACGCTCAGGGGCTGCACACACCACTCCTCCTTGCTCCTGGCACGCAGCCCACCGCCCTTGAGAACAGCCTGGCTGAAGGCAAGCCCCTGAGGGTGTGCACCGGTCACCTGGTAGCCCCAGCCCCCATCCCAGGAAGGAAGCAAAGAACCAGGTGGCCTGGTGTCCACAACAAACCCTCAGCGGCTCTCTCCAAACACTGGCTTATCGAGTCAGAACCCTCCATCATGTTTTCAGTTTGCAAATCACAAAGGGACCAGCCCACCCATCTTTATCCACGGCAGATTCGAACCACTAGCCTTTGGGTTGGCAACGCAACTCTTTAAACACTAGGCCAAAAGAGCTCCTGGCTCTCTTCTGGATGGGGGTGTCCTGCACCCCCAGTGGCCCACAGGCTAGCTGCCCCTCAGGCCCCAGCCCCGGTCCCCACCCAGGATGGGAGCATACTTGGTTTTCCTTCTTTATTGAGTGACGGAGATGTAATTACAGTGGAAGGTGACACGTTAGAAAGGAGCTGCCGTGGAGCGAGGGGCTCAGGCACTGCTCTGGAAATGGGCGCAGGAGCAGGATGTGGGGCTAACAAGGGGCGTGGTGTGGAGCCAGGAGGCCGGAGCCCGCGGAAGAGCCTCCTGGGCCCTGCCCTGCACCCCAAGGCCACTAGCTGGCCCACTGTGCCACCCCCGCAGGCTGCCAGCCCCAGAGAGGCTTGAGAACAAAGGGAGAGCTGGGGACGTGGCAAAGCTGAGTGCGCGGAGTAATACCGGGGCGCTATGTACATGGGCAGCCGCCTCAGTACACCGAGCTGTTGCGGATGCCACAGCACAGGACCATGCTCAGAATCATCTCGAAGATCTGTGGGGGTGGAGAGGACGGGCGTGTGAGGCCTGGGCAGGAGTGGGGGGAGGGAGGGAGAGGGAGCAGGAGGGGCAGGCGGAGGCTGCTGGCTCACCATGACGACAGCCAGAGCAGCAGAGTGACCAAAAGGGACAGAGGCAGGGGGACCGAGAGGGACAGAGGGGGCAGGAGGAGGCTGCTGGCTCACCATGATGACAGCCACGACAATGGCGGCAATGCCGATCAGGTACAGCTTCCCTGAGAAGAGCTCGTCGATCTTGGCGTGACAGTCCAACTGCAGGGACAGTGGTGGGCTCAGGGGACCCCCAGCCAGTACTCGGCCTGGTCACTGAGTCCACCAGGCTCTGCCCGACCATAATGCAGCGGGTATGCATGCCACTGGCCCAGGCAGTATGGCTCTCGGGCGGGTCCAAACCACCCACTCCTAGCTGAGGGCCGTCCAGGACAGTGTGGCCACCGGCGGCTACCACCACGATTGCTCTCTCACTGATGTCAGACCCCCCCACCCGTCAGCTCTGCCATCCCAGTCTGGGCAGCCAAGTCCTCCCCGGGGGGACCCTGTCCAAGGGTGGACAGCCTGCCTTGTGCCCACTGCCCAGCCCCCACCACGCACCGTGATCAAGTTGGTGATCAAGTTGCTGCCACTGGGACACAGGTTGTTCCTGAGCACGGACGTGGCCACTGTGACCATGGCGTTGGAGCCACAGCAGTTGAGCTGCAGAGAGAGGGCAGCTGTGGTCAGGCAGTGGGGAAAAGACCCATGCTGGCCGGGAGCTTGGATGGAAGGACAGTGGACACACGCCACCTACAGCACATCCTGCACCTCTGGCCTCGGGTGCCCCAGAGGAGGGAGTGGGGGAGGACGAACGGAGGGATGGTGGGAGGGCGTAAAGAGGGAGTGTGGGAGGGCGGAGGGAGGGAGCAGAACCCCGGCCCCCTCACCGTCTCCCCGGCCCCCTCACCGTCTCCCCGGCCCCCTCACCGTCTCGTGGAAGGTCTTCACCACAGCCTTGGCGTTGTTAGCGTCATCGTCCAGCACAGCCTGCTGCAAAGCCTGGTCATAGAACTGCTTCACGTCCTTGGCGATCTGCGGGGGGACAGGCAGGCTGGGGTCACCAGCGAGGCCACTCCCACAGGTGGACACATGCTCACGTGACAGGAAACTGCGGCCCTCACAAAAGATGATGGGGCTTTTACATTAGCTGCCCTGGGCGCATTCTCAGTGCTGCCACCTCCAGGAAGCCCTCCTGGACCTTCCCAACCAGTGGGCCTCAAACGAAGCCCCAGCACACAGCCCTGGGCCGCGGACATCCCCCCAAACCCCCAAGGCTGGATGAGGGCTGTGTCGGTTGCCTGGCTCACCTGGTCCTTGTTGACAAAGCCCCAGATGCCGGCAGCCACCTCACAGGCAAACAGGATGACCAGGCAGGTGAAGAACTAGGGTGAAGAGTGGATGGAGGAAGCAGCATGTTAGTCTGGGGCCCTGGACTGGTCCTCTCAGGACATCAGATCTGAGTGACCAGTGGGGTGATGCCCAAACCAGGGGGAGCCAGGAGGTGCTGTTGCGGGTGGAACCTCGGGCTCAGCCTGGGCCCTGACCCACACCATGTCCCCCTTTCTCCTTCGGCCATACTGCCCCTTGGGGTGAGCAGATTTAGGACAGGGGAACCCTGGAGTGCCTCATCGCCAGCGGTGTCCCCTTCCCCACCCCAAGAAGAGAGATGGAGCTGCTGACCCCTGCCCGCTGTCTCTGCTACTTATCTCAAACCAAGAAAGTGGGTGGCCAAGCTGAGTCAGGACAGGGAGGTAATGGCTAGTGCCGAGAACCAACAAGTCAGACTGGCCACAGCCTGCTCCGGACCACCGGGCTAGTGGCCAGCGGGGGTGGTGGGTCCTCCCATCCCAGCCTGGGACCCCAGGGACCCCCTTACCGTTCCCAGCAGGCACTGCGACTCCTGGATGGCCCCGTAGCAGCCCAGGAACCCCACAAACATCATCACGGCACCCACGGCAATGAGGATGTAGATGCCTGGGGGGGGGGGCAGGACACTAAGCATGGCCAGCGTGGGCTGGGTGTCCCCAGTCCCAGAGCCCCAAGGAGGCCAGCTGTGACTGAGTCCCCAGTGGAGCCAGCTCCTGCCTCAGCTGTCGCCTCAAAGTGAAGCAGGGCTGTCCCAGCACAGGCTGTCCCTACCACTCCCACCAGGACCCCCGTCAGAACCACCATCAGGACTCCCTCCCCCCTGGAGCCCCCTCCCCAGGGCCCCCATTAGAACCACCATCTGGACTCCCCCCAGGACCCCGCTAGGACTCCCTCCTCCCAGGACCTCCCATCAGAACTTCCGCCAGGACTCTGCTGCTGCTCAGAGTTCCTGGCCTTTGACACTGTCCACCTCCAGCACCACCAGGCGGATGGATGGCCATCTCTCACAGTCATGGCAATAGCAGCTTGGTCGCCTGTCCAGAGGGCTCAGTGGCAGGGGTCCACTATCTGTCCCAGAGCCCGGAGGCACTGTGCCAAGCCCCTGCTCAGTCCCCCAGCCCCTCTTGGCCCTATGGTCCCCCTTTTGTGAGGTCAGGGAAGAGCCCTGGCTCTGGCTATGCCACTAAGTCCAGCAAGGTGACCAGAGACAGCTCAGTTTCTAGGGCATCCAGGTGTCCAGGAGCTGAAGACTGACCAAAGGGCACCAGGGTCCCTCGTGAGGCCCCATCAGCAACCCCAGGCCCCAGAGGAAAGCCCCCAGGCTAGAAGGGAGCTCCCACAGTGAGGTCACACAGAAGGCCTGGCTTGGCCCAGCTCCCAGGGGACCTGGCTCTTTCTCAGCCACACTGTCCAGCACAGGACAAAGGGCCCTTGTTATGACTCCCGTCTGCTCTAAAGCCCAGCAAGCCCTGCGATGAGTAGCCCCCAAAGCCTGCGACAGGCTGGGGTGGGGTCTGGGCATGAGGTGTTCCAAGAGCTCCCAGCAGGGGTGGGGTGGGGTGGTGGTGTTCAGACAGGGTCATGGGTGACTACTAAGTGACCAAGCCTGGCCTCAGGTTCATGTAGGGTCCGGGGTTTGGCACTAGCTTGCTAGGGAAAGGTCATTGGTTCAAATCCATCCACAGCTTCCAAGGAGAAAGACATGCAGTGAACATTATAGGGATGTGAGGGTCCTGGGTTTCAGGCTCTGGGACTCAGAAGGGAGTCGGAGCGGGCCTGGAGGGCCCTGGAGGTGGGTGGAGGGAGTCAGAGAGGGCCTGGGGGGCCCTGGAGGTGGGTGGAGGGAGTCAGAGAGGGCCTGGGGGGCCCTGGAGGTGGGTGGGGCTGGGAATCCACAGGAGAGGCTGTTCCACAATGGATCCTTCCAGGTCCACTGTCCTGTCCTGCCTACCCTTGCTGCCCAAGCCCATGGTGGGCGATGTCAGGGTCTGGACCAATGCCCATCCATCGAGTGCCCGCCAGGCCCACAGGACTGAGAGCAGCCGTCTTCTGCGCACATGCAGCCCGAGATGCCTGGTAGGATGGTCCCTGGGACAGCAGCCTGGCTGATCCCGCCTCCCAGGAGAGAGGGGCAGGGTCGGGCCCATCTCTGTGTGGCTGAGACCTTGTGCACACAGCCCCTCCCAGCCCTCAGCCTGGACACCCCAGAACTGCCCCTTTAAAAGACAAGGCCATCTGGACATGGGCTTGAGCAGAGCACCCTCGCCTTCCTGGGGTGCCCTGCCCTCCTCTCCAGGAGGGACCCCGCAGCTGGTGCTGACAGCTGAGTCCCCCCCGCCCCCGCCCAGGAGTTTTCCATTCCACTGGCGGCTCCAGCTGCTTGGGGAGTGGCCGGGACATTCTATCTCGCCTTTCCAGCCAGCCTCCCCCAACACCTAAAATAAGTTGTGTCCTCCCAGCCCCTGCCGTCTGGTCCCATGGGTGGGGGCCACTCCTGCTGGCCAGCCCAGCACTGAGCAGCAAAGGAGGCAGGGGTGGTGGTATGTGGGTGCCAGAGGGGTCAGGATCTCATCAGCACACCCAGGCTCTGAGGATCTAACCCCACCCCCTTCTTGGCTGGGCCCCCGTCCCAGGAAACCCCAGGCCTCGAGTTGGTCTTCCACGGGGGCTGCCTCCTCCAGGAAGCCCTCCCTGGTCACACACTCACCCACATAGAAGGTGTTGGGTGCAGGCTGGCCTCCGAGCTCCAGGTAGAGGAGGTTGGTGGTCTGCGGGTCATGGCGGAGCCACAGGGCCACTCCGAGGATCACTCCTCCGGCGAGCTGGGGAGAGAGGAGGTGCGCGGTCACTAGCAGCATGGATCGCCCCGGACGGCCAGCACAGAGCACGACAGGGGCGCGTTCTGCAGCTTGGAGCTCTGCTGGCCGCCTGGGGCCGGTGAACGCAGGACGGGTGGCCCCTCCAAGCAGCCCCTCAAGCCTGACCCCCACGGGCCCCCAGCTCAAGTAGACAGCAGAGGTCAGCTTGGTCTGAGCACCCCACACGCTGTGATCAGAAGAGGCCCCTTGGTGCAGTGCGGACACCCAGGTACAGCAAATCTGAACTTCAGAACAACGATGTACGTTCCTGCATAAACCAAACGCATGCCAAGAAGTCACCCCCTCTCACAGCGACCCTCCACCCGGTCCCCAGAGCAGTGGGTGCATTTGAACCACTGAGTTCTCAGTTGCTGTGTGCCATCAAGTCAGAACCGACCCATCGCTGACCCTCCAGCAGGTTCCCGGAGGCAGCAATCACACGGGAGGAGACTGCCCACCTTGCAAAACACCTGGTGGATTTGAACTGCATGCCTTTGGGACCGCAGTGCAGCTTCTCACCACCAGGCCACCTGAGCTCCCCAACTCCCTACATGGTGATTGTTGCCCGGTGCCATCACATCAAGCGTGACTCCCAGTGACCCTTGGCCAGCCGACCTGACCCCGCCCTGTCCGGTGCCGTCATCATCTCAGGCACCCGCGCCCACTGCTGCAGCCGCTGTGAAGTCCATCCTGGTGGCGGGTTCGCTCCTTGGCTGACCCTCCACCCTTCCAAGCAGGACCCCCTTCTGGCAACAAGTCCACAGTGTGAGACGAAGCTCTATCGTCCTTGCCTCTAAGGAGCCTGTCCTGCAGGCGGCCGTGGATAGTCCGCACGCTTCTCCAGCACCACAGCTCCACGGCTGCTGCGTCCTGTCTGTCTGCAAACGCAGACTCCACTGGGGATCTTCCGTCACCAGCACGAGCGGGTCCAAAGAGCAGCCCACCGTACACAAGGGCCACCGTGCAGAGGTGGCAGGTACGGAGCCAGATCACAAAGCCATGATGTAAACGCCACCCCGACCCGTTACAGCCACAGGACGCTGTCACTGCACAAAACGGGGATAAGAACTCCCCAAAACACAAGGCACTGCCACCAAGTGAGTCCTGGCTCCCAGCACCCGCAGGACAGAGCGGAACAGAGGTCACCTCCTCCCTCGGAGCGGCGGGTGGGATCACACTGCTCACCTCCTGGTCAGCAACCAGCTGCTTTACCTGCCAGGCCAGGGCCCCTTTAAAGCGTCAGATGTCAGGCGCCTTCGAGCCAACTGTGACCGACAGCGTCCCTACAACAATGGCTCTGCACCTGCCCTGCCCTGTCCCGTCCCCCCATCTCCGACGCTCCTGGACGCACGGCTACAGCCACCGTGTCACTCTATCCCGTCGCGGGTCCTCCTCTCGTGCTGACCCTCTGTCTCCACAAGCATGCTCCCCCCTCCCAGGACCCACCCCGCCTTACTATGTTATTTTTCACTATTGCCTTGAACATGAAATGTCAGATAAGGCGTGACGTGTCACATAAGGGGACAGTCCGAGGAAGAGATGTTTACTGAGTCTGGACACCCTACACTGACGGCCACCTCAGCCAACGTCCCAAAGAATGCTGTGGCCCTCTGCCAAGAGGTGGCCAGTGCTCACCGTCTTGGGCACTGGAAACCACACAGGGAGCGTGAGGGCTTTGCTGGGAGATCAGACAAGACCTGGCACCCACGCAGAGGCCCTGGGGCTGGTGGACCGAAGGCCTCACAGCCAGGGGTCTGGGAAGCTGGGGGTGGGGGCAGGAGGTGCGCCGAGGGGGAATCTGTCTGCCGGGAAGGACCCGTGAAGGGAAGGAAGCGAGGCTGTGGGCTTCGAGAGGCTGGAGGAAGCAGCGCTCCGAGGCCAGGGCACAGGGCGACGCCGACACACACGGGGTCTGTGACCATCCGGCCAGGTGGTCTTGTGGACCATGCAGAGCATGGGTGGCCCAGCCCTCCTGCCCCCCATCACCCTCCCCCCCAGCTGCTGTCACCCCCTCAGGACCCCTGACTCAGATACAAGCACAGGGCTGCAATCAAGGAAGAGAAATCGAAACACGGCTGCCCGGCTGCCACTTGATCCAGCCCTGTCCCCGCCTCGTGGGTGTGGGGCCCCGGGGGGCAGGGGGAGGGGAGCGAGCCCTGGCTGTTCCCAGGAAAGTCCCAGCCGGAGTGGAGGAGCGTGGGAGTGGAGGAGCGTGGGTCACACCCTCCTGCATCTTCCTCAGGGCCTCCCACAGGGGCCCCCAGGACAGGCTGCGCAGAGCGAGGTGCACAAACCCCCTCAGGGGACACTCTGGGGGGGAGGGAGGGTAGACCCTGCCCCCCGGACAGCTCAGAATGCCCACAGGCCGGCGGGGCGACACCAGCAGTGCTGGGCTTCACAGGGTGAGACCCCTGGATGGCAGGTCCCGGGCTCCAGACGGTGCCCGCCCTCTGTGGGCAGCAGGGCGGGCAGTGGAGCCGAGGGCTGGGCCGGGCGCCGCCGCGGGGACGTCCCTGAGAGCTGGCTGCCATCTGCACTGGCGGGAAGGAGGTGGCGAGGCCAAGCTGCCATGGCAACCCTGGCTTCCTCGGCGGTTTGAAAACGTCATTTATTTTGTTTTGAACTCTGGTCCAGAGCAACTCCGCTACGGTTCCCAGGAGGAGGGGGAAGGGAAGGCCGTCTTCAGCCGCCTGGCTCCCACCCTGACGGGGCTGTGGCGGCTCTGCCCAGAGTCCCTGGGGTCACGCGGGCTGCAAGGTGCCTACGGATGCCAGTTCCACAGGGCACTGGCATCTTTCCTCCACGGCCCTCACCTTGAGGCCGGGTGGCCTGATCCTACCTGGGGTGCAGCATCCTCAGACCCTCACTTGGTCCCACATTCTCTTGGGGTACCCTCAGGATGGGGCCGGGCCTGCGTTTCCACGTGCGGTGTGCACTTTCTGGCAGCCCACGGAGGAAGGAAGACATGGAGCCCCGCCTGCCACACCCTGACACCCCCAAACTCCAACTCTAACCACTGAACAGTAACCAGATCTGATCCTGAGAGAGACGAGATGGGGCACAAACAGTACTGTCCACTCAACGATGGTGGCCTCTCCACCCCTCGCCTTCGTCCCTCCTCTGGAAGGGTCCAGGAGCCGCGCGGGGGAGACCAGTCGTTGGCAGATTCTGGGTGTACACCCTCGACACTGATCGCTGTCTCCTGTGCCCGGTGCTGGGGGGTCCGCTGGGACTCACAGGGTCCAGGCCACGCCAGGCCTGCTGCTGCAGCCACTGCGCCACCCCGTCCTGTTGAAGGTCTTCCCCTCTGTCACTGTCCTCCAGCGACAGGCCCCCTCCCGGGAGCACCCTGTCTACACGTCCCCCAGGACGGGTCTGTCTGTCCTCCCGGCCGTCTGTGGGAAGCACAATCCTCTGCCAACACCACAATGGCAAACCATCACTTCTCTGGTCTTCTCACTCGGTCAAAATACCACAGGCAACAGAGCTGGTTGCTAGGCGATGTGACAGCCCTTGTTTACAAGGGAGACGGGAGATGCCTGCACCGTTTGGAGCCAGCTCAAAGCCCAGTCTGGGATCCTCATCCAGCGACCTGGGGTGGGGGCGAGGAGACCACACGGAGACGGGGAGCACCTGTCACCCACACAGCGGACCCAAACTCCAGGACAGCAGGGACAGCGGGGGCTGTGTGCACCTCAACAGGGCCACCGGGGCAGGAGGATCACCTCGGACTCCGGAAGAGAACCTCCGCCCCAGCTATCCTGAAGCTCCAGCACACCCCAGAGGGACAGGGCCGGGCAGGGGGCATCCCGGCCCCAAAGCCCCGCACAGGGCAGGGCTAGAGGGGCCAGAGAGGGGGCGTCTCAGAGAAACCTGCTCTTTGAAAGATGCCCTTAGAAGATGAAAGGACAAGGCAGCGATGGGGAAGTGTCTGCAGACGTCACGTCTGGTCGCGGCTCCTGCACTCAGTGTACAAGTAACTCTCAGAAATAAGAAAACAGACCCACGTTCTCAGGAAAAGATGCTCCCGGGGGCCACTGCGAGGGGTCAGCGTCACCACGGTGACCACCAGGTGCCACACAGCCAGACGGGCCACGGCCCATCACGGTGAGCACCCCCGGCACGAGGGCCACGTCCGCGTGCTGGGCACGTCCTCCTGCAGGCAGGGGTGTGAAGTGTGCAGCTGCTTTGTGAACCCCCATCCACCACTGCCCGGACACCTGTCATTGGTGTCGACGGTGGAAAAACATCCTGGCTGGTCGAGCAGGTGGAGCAATGAGGAGGGGGGGCAGGTGGGGCTCCCAGGGGCAGACAGAAACGAACAGTCCCGATGAGGAGAGGACAGGGCAGTGGGCAGTCCAGGCCCGGTCTCCCAGGCGGTTGCCGGGGGACAGACCTCCGTCAGGACTCCAGACGCCTGACCGTCCTCTGTGACAACACAAGAACCACCGCCGTCTTCAAGTTCAGCCCATGGGCACCGACGTTCCCCTCACGGACACTGATCTGGAACCAACTGCCCGCCCTCTGGCAGGTTTTGGGCTGTAAATCGCACGGGAGCGGTCATTATCTCAATGACTCTCCTGAGGACCTAGCGGGGCCCAGTGACGGGGAGGACCGCTCTCCTTGGACTCACCGCTGACCAGGTCAGAGTTCCGGGAAGCACCTGCTTAGAGGGGTAGAACAGGACAGAAAGGAGGGGCGACGAAAAAGGCGGACACAGCGTGAGGGGTTGGGAAACGGCGTCCGGAAGCCTAGTTCTCTCACCGGCGAGTCGGAACTGACCCTCAGCTGACCCTCCGCCGGGCCAAGCCAGGAGACTGCACATCCTCCTCCAGCCGCGGGTGGCTTCGAACCCCCAGCGAGGCACGGCCTTTCTGCAGACCGCACCACCAGGGCGCCCTGAAGCGTGGTTATGACGTTAGCCATCAGCCCCAACCACCCGCACGATCCTGCCGGTGGGCTTG